CAACGCCAGACAGCTGGGATCAATTAGAGGGTGGAGCAAGCGATGGTTTCCAGACGGCAGCATCCAGGATTGCCAATGCGTCTCCGTTACCCGCTGATCAACCAGCGCAAGCGGCGAACAGAAGCACCAGGTCGCTCTCTGCGTCTGCTAGCGCTAATGCTTCCCCCATACCTTCATTTCGGCCAGTACAATCAATACATGGCGATCCTAGCTCTTCCTATGCATTGGCCGCTCCGAGCCCTTCTCTAGCGCTGGCATTGGGGCTACAACCAGCGGGGTTGATGGAAAAGAGCGTTATACCTGCTTCCGGAGTACCAGATACCGAACCCTTGCAGCAGAAGCAGGCGCAGGATGTGATTGCAGAACAGGGCACACCGGCGCCGGAAACGGCAACTGCTCCTTTGGAAGGTTCTGGCATGGCAGCAGCCGACGATGTCGAGATGGAGGATGTACGCTAGAACCAAGTCTGCCCTTCTACATAATACCATTTCATCATTGAAAGGAGACTTTCACATTTATCTGATAATCAATGTAACACACCTACTGCATTCAAGGCCCAGGATCCCATGATGTCAGATTTCCCTTTCAAGAAACCTCAACTGGATTCGTCTAAAGAACTTTTTGTCCATACGTTATATTTGCAGTGGGTTTACAGTCTCGACGATCCTACCAGCTCGCCAGGCGGGCAGGTCAAGGTAGGCCCAGTAGAGACCATGAGTTTTGGAACGGCGATCTATTTATTTCTATCTGAACCAGTTTACTGCTTTACTCTGATACACTATCAAGTGCTACTCAAGGGGTGTGTTGTGAGACCCTCATAGATCAGACCAACTAGCTTGGCTGCAAAGCGAAGGTATGTCCTGCGCACGAGTTGGCGTTCCGTGATCATTAGGCTGCGGGAGTTCTGTAGAAGGCATGGTGGCTCGGCCAAAGGTGGAGACATTGCCTCCGTCAAGTGCTGAGAGATCTAGGACAGCGATTCCATGATACGGCATGTGGGACACAGGGATAGTACTAAACCAATTTGACAAACCAGACTCAATGGGCTACCGAAACATATAGTCCAGAGATTCAGACCAAGCTATCTACATATTGCTGCAATATAAAAGTCAGAACACTACCGCGTTTCCCCATGACCACCCAGTATACTCTGAGGCGACTGTAGGATGACCGAAGAGGGCGATTGCAGGAGGAAGTCTTGATCGGAAGGGAAGGGCGGAGGTAAGAGAGAAGGAGGGACGCGGGTTAAGACGAGGACGAGGAGCGGAGGTAGACGGCGAGGTTACGGTAGGTGGAAGGGAGGAGGTTCGGCGGCAGGAGTGTATAGCAAACTTATGTTGAGGTGATCTGGGTCTATGGAAGGGTTCGTCTCGATGGTACAGGATACGGAAGCTCCGCCGTCGGATCGAGAGGTAGAATCGAGCTGCTAACCATTAAGCCTTCTTAATCTACCCAAACTCCGGCATACTTTGCTTTTGAGTTAAAAGACAGAGGGGTCCACGCAAAAGGAGATGAGAGCCCAATACTTGACCTATGTATAGACCCCATGCCTACGCTTTTGTTGCCATACAAGCCTTAGATCCGAACACCTTTGGTGCGATCGAAACCACTACTGAAGAATCTCTGAGCGCATGTCTGTGAAAGCTGTCTACTCGGCGGTATCGAGCTCGTCATGAGCAGGGACGGGAGATCCCACGTCGACTGGAAGAGATTGATCAGTGTACTTTCCAATTCCTTCACTTCGGGTAAAGCTACCTTTGCGGTCATCTCCATTGGTATTGTCACGGTCGTCCTCAATGTCGCGACGACGATCTACATCCTTCATTTCGCGGTCTCTATCGTCTGGGCTTCGAGAGCGGTCTCGGTCACGCCTATCGTAGTCGCGCTCACGACGCTCGTCTTTGCGAGGAGAGTAGTCGCCTCGGCCACGACGAGGTGGAGATGCCGATCGGCGACGAGGAGAGCGATCACGACGACTGCCTGGACCACGGTCACCACCCCGTGCGTCACGGCCGGAGTCAAACCGCCAGGATGCGGAAGGAGGCGTACGGGCCCACTGAGTTACTGATTAGCTTTGCTCGAAAGAGGGGGATTGATTAGATGCTTCGTACCTCAATTTTCAAGACATCGTCACGCCCGAGACGCTTGTTGTGCATCTCATGATAGGCATCATCTGCATCACGGCGACTCTCGTATTCGACGAAAGCGAATCTGCTGGCCGTGTGAGTATGCACATGACCTTCGCGGCAGCCACAGTGCCATGCCTGGGGGACATACAGTCTGCTTGCAGCGCTTCGTGGAGCGGGGATGTCGCAGCGCACAAGGCGTCCATAGCTAAAGGCGTGTTAAACTCGGGGCGGCTGAGGCGACGGGACGGCCGCAAGACGGAGACGGGAAGACATGAGTGGGCATCGTGCTGATCTATCGATGGTTTTGGAGGGTAGGCTAGGACGAGGGAAGGGAGATTCGTATGGACTATAGGCGTACCGTTCGAATTCGTAGGCCAGATCACGGGCTCGCGTCCCATGACCGAAGCCAGTGACGTAGAGGGTTGTACCACCTCCTCGCGACATGATGAGGGTGAGGTGCGTTTTTAGTGCTGGCCAGAGAAAGATTGAACAATGTTCTAGATGCCTGTGCAATGGAAGAGATTGAAGTCAGAAATCGGCGTCGAACACTCGACAGGTTGCTCCGCTACGCTAGCGCACGATGAGTTAGCGTTCCAGAAAATTCAATTACGTGGAATACTTGCGTTTTGCAAGGAAAAAAATCCTATGAATCCGCCCAGTGTCTTCCAAGTGATAGGCACGCACTGACTTAATAGGTTGATATCTTACCCAACAGTCAGCTTGAAATTCAAGACGTTCTCTTCTATCGCTGCAATCCGTGGGCACAGCCCGAAACGGACCAAGCTTTTCAAGGGGCCCAGAACCAAAAATAAGGCTACCTTAAAGTACTTTCTGCTCCGTACGGACGAACTGAAAACAACTCAAACACGCTTAAACCAAGTTGCATTTCATGGAATCAGCTTTCGATCGCGAAGAGGTAGTGTCGTTTGTATATTCGCCGCGTCGGCCACACCTGTATGACTTCCTGGCGAGAAGCTCCCAAGGTCTGCGCTGCAGTTTGTCACAACCTCAAAGTTCATCGAACCACCGCATAATACATACATTCCTTGCTTCACATCGAGGTTGAGAGGGGTTTGGGACTCGGGAGTCTTTCGCGATGAGTGTCGATCGGAAAGCGCCTTCGCCCGTGGCAAGGGTAGAAGGCGAGAAGGTTTGGGTAGAAGGGCAGGAGTCCCACCGTCCTCCTCCACTGTCAAGAATGATACAGTTACGGCATACAATCGCTCAGCCCGTTCTCGCTGCTTTTCTGGCCGGGGGTGTAGCCGGAGCCGTCTCCAGAACGGTTGTGTCACCACTCGAGCGCCTCAAGATTCTGTTCCAAATACAGAGTGCTGGGAGGATGGAATACAAGTTGCCTGTTGGGCAAGGTCTCATGAAGATGTGGAGAGACGAAGGCTGGAGAGGGTTTATGCGAGGTAACGGCGCCAATTGCATACGGATAATACCCTATTCTGCTGTGCAATTTTCGAGCTACAATTTCTACAAGAAGGTAAGCAGGCCAAGCTAGGGCAAAATTTGTCGTTGCGGCCCAAATTTTCTGTATCAGAGCCATGTTAATCAATGTGCGAAACAGTTCGCGGGAATTCAGCAAGGTGTCCCTACAGCGCCGTGGAAGAACCTCTTGTGCGGAGGGCTCGCAGGGATAACCTCCGTGACCTTCACCTACCCGCTCGATCTCGTGAGAACTCGGCTTTCTGTGCAGACCGCAGATTTCAGTGGGCTCTCAGAGGCCGAAAAGAAGAATATGCCTGGGATGTGGAAGATAATGGTCAACGTATATAAGACCGAAGGGGGCATTCTGGCCTTATATGGTGGCTACATTCCGACCGTAGCTGGTGTTGCACCATATGTGGGTTACGCCCCGTTACAATTCATTGTATCTTCGGCTGACGTATCTAGGTCGGACTGAACTTCATGACCTACGAGTGGTTGAGGCAGTACTTGACACCTGAAGGTGACAAGAATCCATCAAATTGGCGAAAGCTCCTTGCAGGCGCCGTTTCAGGAGCCATCGCTCAGACTTGCACGTACCCTCTGTATGACATTCTCTTCGCGCTCCTTAAGATGATGACTGACCTTGGCAGTGATGTTCTCCGCCGCAGGTTTCAAATCAACAAGATGAAGAGCATGGGCTACAAATACAAAGGGATCTTCGACGCCATTAGAATTATCGCTTCTCAAGAAGGCTTCCGTGGTTTCTACAAGGGCATCGTACCAAACCTGCTCAAGGTCGCCCCAAGCATGGCCAGCAGCTTCTTGAGCTTTGAAGTGACTAGAGATTTCTTTGTTCGCATGGGAGAAGACGACGATGCTTAAAGGATTTACAGCTACACCAATATAGCGAACGTCATCGATATACGATCATGCACGTTACGGAGGGAAGATACCCAATAAAGATACTCAGGATCTGATTTTTTTGCGAATATCTCGCGCACTTTATCGAGCATGGCTGGCAGCATCTGGGATTGATATCAAGCGGCATTGGGAGCATGCTTGTTGTGTTGGTCTAAAACGATCAGGAAGCCTTTTGTTCATGAGGGCCCCTGCATTTGGAGAGGTAATGCTAGAGTAGATAGGTCCGGTATACATGTAAAATAGGGCTCTTCAGCAAAACCTTGAAAAGACAACACAGAATTGAAGATTTGAACTATAACCAAGATGAATAGTAAGTAGCCGCTCTGATATCAACGTTAGACTGCCGTGCATCGCAAATCAAGTGTTTTCCATATCACCACTGAACATTCAGCCCTACCGCGGGCCAAATAAGCGAGCCCACGCAAAGATATCGCGCTAGCAGAAAGCGTAACAAATCCGCACTTCGAGCTCATCTTCAGCATTGACAACAACCATCCACAATCAACAACTGCAAAGATGGGTGAGTCCCTCATTCCGATACCATCAGTTCTGTTCAACGTTTCAGCTTCAAGTGCTTATGCTCTCCTGATCTCGGACGCAACCAAGGGAGCTTCAACGATGCCCATCTCTAGGCCTGCAACTGAAATGGGAGACAAGAAAGCTGACCAAGTTGCAATCCTACAGGTATTGACCTCGACAGGCATCATGTGCGCAGCACGCATCGCAAAGCGCCAAAGAGCGACAATGTCTACCTTAAGCTGCTTGTCAAACTCTACCGCTTCCTAGCTCGTACGTCCTATCCTACCATACTTCCATCCCATTCACTTCTATACCCTAGATGCAACAACCTCATGCACTTTTTCTGACACTAACAATTCAGGCAAAACCGACTCAAATTTCAACAAAGTCGTTCTCCGCCGCCTCTTCATGTCCCGCACCAACCGTCCCCCACTCTCCCTCAGCCGGCTCTGCATGCTCGCCTCCCGCGGCACCCGCGAGAAACTCGCCCCAACGGAGAAAACCATCGTCGTCATCGGTACCATCACTGACGACACCCGCCTGCTGAAAGTGCCCGAGAAACTTACCATTGCGGCCCTCCACTTTACGGCTACCGCGAGAGCAAGGATCGAGAAGGCGGGTGGGGAGTGCTTGACGATGGATCAGTTGGCGCTCAGGGCGCCGACGGGGAGTAACACGTTGCTGTTGCGGGGACCGAAGAATGCGCGGGAGGCGGTGAAGCATTTTGGGTTTGGGCCGCACAAAGGGAAGGTGAGTTTTGCTCTGGCCTACGGATGGCTTTGGAATCGCTCAGAGACTTGAGAACGTGTTGGCTGACTTGTGCAACAATGCAGAAACCCTACGTTGAGAGCAAGGGCAGGAAGTTCGAGCGTGCTCGTGGAAGGAGACGATCCAGGGGTTTCAAGGTCTAGATGGTGGCTACTATCTGACAGCTATCTGTGCTCTAGGCTCGATTGCAAATGGATGGGTGGACGAGTGGACAGCTTGCTACGGGCCTCGCTGGGGATGGAAGGTCGAGTGGAGCAGTCAGTGCAATCGCAAAAGGTCATGGCTTCCCAGCTAGCAATGGACAAATTCCAACCCTCTATGTTCCAAATCGCAACGTTGAGCTGTGAGACAAGGGCTACGGAAGCTGAAAAGGACGATTTCAATATTTCGTTTAGCACTTTTCCGGAGCCGGAACTCCTAATTCGTAAAACACTTTGATGCTGATTCCTTCACCCATCCAACGGCAACCGCTCATGCCTCCACCTCTTTCCCCCCTCCCCATAATCACCCGCAACCTGCCCACACCCATTGATGCGATACTTATAAATCATCAAACCCTCCAGCCCCACCGGTCCCCTCGCGTGGATTTTATTCGTGCTAATGCCCACCTCGGTGCCGAAACCAAATCTCATACCATCCGCCATCCTCGTGCTCGTATTCCAGAAAACGCAGGCCGAATCCACGCCGGATTGGAACTGATTTGCTATCTCTGGGGAAGAGGTCAGAATGGCGTCGGTGTGCTTTGAGGAGTGGGCGTTGATGTGGGCGATTGCGAGACTGCAGGAGGTGCTGGCGGAAGCGTCTGGGGGCGTGGGGATGGTTTTGATGGCGAGGATTGGAGCGAGGAACTCGGTTGTGTAGTCTTCTTCCGTAGCGTCTTGAAGGATTGTTGATTCGTTCTTCGGGAGAGAAGCTGCGAGTGCGCTTTTGGATTCGGCATCGCAGCGAAGAGAGACGCCTTTTTCGAGAAGAGCTGATGCTACGGCCGGGAGAATGGTGGATAGGGCGGCCTCGTCGACAAGTAGTGTCTCGACTGCGTTACAAGCTGCTGGATAGCCCAGCTTAGCATCAACTAGAATCTTAACTGCCATCTCCGGGTCCGCATCCTTGTGAATGTAAGTACTGCAAATGCCATCCGCATGACCAAGGACGGGAATGCGGGTGTTGTCCTTGATGTACCGGACCAGCTCGTTGGAACCACGCGGTATGACCAGATCGATATGCTTGTCGAGGTCAAGAAGGGAAGCTATAACGTCTCGAGCAGTGACGAGTTGGATCGAGGCGTTAGGGACTAGGGTGTTGGTCAAGGCGTTGGAGATGGTCGTAGAGATGGCGCGGAAGGAGAGAGTGGTTTCCTTGCCGCCTGAGTTGTCAGTGCTGGTACCAGGTGCTTTCATGTATGTAAGTACCTTTGAGAACAGCTGCGTTTCCAGATTTGATAGCTAGAGAAGCTATATTGGCGATGACTTCCGGACGTGCCTCAAAAATGATCAACAGAACTCCAATCGGGCATGTAAATCTTTGCAACTCAAGGCCGTCATCCAATCTTGTTCTTAGAGTGATCTTATTGACTGTGTCGTACACATCTCACAGAACACATGCGTCACAGAATCAGAGAATCTTCTCCGCCGTCTATTGTGGTGCATGGTTCTGTAAGACCCTCCGTACGATCCATCAGCCTCCGTATATCGCACTTCATAGAAACCCCTCACCAGGATCTTCAAGGTCTCGAACGTCCAGTATGCCCTGCAGCATGTCTTCCCATTTGCCTTTCCTCCCCAGGTCCAGCCTCTTCAGCACGCTCTGACTCAGTTCCCCTTCTTCGGCTGCCTTCGTTGCCAGCTCCAGGTCCTTTGCGTTGGCTGCTAGAATTATATCTTTTGTCTCTTGCAAAGCCCCATGTATAGCTGTCAAGGCATCATTCCGAGCTTCGGTTGATAGTATGGCTAGGTTTCGAGAAGAGATTGAGGCTGCTTTAGCGACTTCCAGCGGAGATGAGTCTGTCAACGACATTTTCACGGAGGACACCAGCCTAGAATACTAGAGAAACACCGATCACTGAAAGACATACAACAAATGCAGCGTGCAAGGAAAGAGAGTCTGCCTTAGAGAATTGGAGAAACACTGGGTGTACTGTTGAACTAGAGCAGTCGACTACTAGGGTCCTTTTGCAAGTAACAATCCTCGCTAGCACCGTTGCCTAGTACAAAAGAATGTCCTTGTGAGGCCCTTCACAATTGAAAACACAACTTCACAACTTCACAACTTCACAACAACAAAATGGGACCAGACAGCAATCCTGGTTCGCACGACTTGGTAGTGGTTTGGCTGCTTGGATCCATTATTCAACTGTCGACAGGGTTATTCCTCTATGCCCTAGATCAAAGTGACCTAAGTCTCGCTTACTCCCGCTTTTTCTTCGCGCTTTGGGTGATCTTCATCTTACTACTCATCAGAAGAATAACTTGGCACATCATCCCTTAGGTAGTTCCTAATGGTGCTTCAGCATTGCCCAAACAATTTGTCCCCGCAAGACTTTAAAGATCCAGGGCACAAAGGCAACTACTACTCAACATGGACGCACTCCTCCCTCAGCTTCTCTCCTTCCCTCCTCATCCAGAACCTGCCAAACCAATATCAGATTCAGAATACGACAAACACATCAAGAACTTGGTTCAGCACATCAACACAATACCTGCAAGCAAGCTCATCTCGGGAGTCCCTGGAGGCGGCGATCTTCTAGATGTACGTATAACATCGTCGGGGATGAGAGCTTGCCTGGAGTTCTGACTGACATCATACTGGTGCACAGATCATCGATCCCTCGAAAAACACGCTCCCCTATCTCTACACATTACTCGCTCACATCGGTGGCTCCGCTGGCAAGCAGAAGTCGGGCTCAATATCAGATACATTCCATCCAGGATCAGCACTATGGCAGAAGATGTTGGACTTCATGGAACGCTTTGATGAGCGTCAAATAAGATACGCAGGCACTGAGCTTCGGCGGCTCATAGATGTTACGGCAATAAAAGCGGAGCGAGTGTCACAAGTAAGCTCTCAGTCTGCCAAACATAACTGAATATGCGCCTAATGACATTTTCAAGCCTTGGGCAGCTATCCCTCCTATTAGGTCCGCCATACTGCGCGTGGACGAGTCAAGCTCCACCTTCACATCGTCACATACCACCTTTGCCCGCTTATGCCTCGAAGCACGTGCTTACACCGCAGCGTTGCCCGTACTAGACCACAACATCTTCCACTTCCCACCTACCACAAACAAACTAGCTGAGAACAGCATGTTTCCTCACCTCTCTTCACATCACGACTCCAGTTCGACCTTCATCACACCAGACTCGGGCTTATCAGCTAAGTTGGAGTACCGACATCACCTACTCTACTTCCTTTACGGTGCCCTGATATTCATGGGCTTGAAGAAATGGAAGCGAGCACTTCTTTTCCTCGAAATCGTCATTATGTCGCCTGTGGTCAGTAATGTCAGCAAGATCCAAGTGGATGCCTACAAGAAATGGGTGCTCGTCAGCCTACTTTACAAAGGACATGTAAGTGATACATTGTACCTGAAAAGCATTACCAAAGCTCTTTCTGATAGTTTCATCCGCAGCCATTGGACTTGCCGAAAACATTAAGTCAACAGGCTACAAAGCAGTATCACGCAATTTGCAAGGCTTATGATGGACTGGCCGAGGTTTTCAAAGATGGTATCCTCAACGAGGAGTCTGACCAGAGACTCATCGCTGAAGCTACTGCTGGTGAAGCGTGGTGGGCTCCAGTCAGTCATCTTGTACCCCACGCGAGCACTGAGCTCCTTTCTCGACTGCTCACTGACAATCACCAGGACTTCAACCGTGGCCTCATAGTACAAGTGATCGATGCCTTCCGCCAATTTTCCGTTGTACAGCTTGGAAAGACCTTTGCCGCATTGACGGTAGCTGACATCGCACGTCGCACGTCACCCGATCCCAACGATTATGCTGGCACTGGAGACTACGTGATCCACCTCATTTCTACTGGCGTTTTGAACGCTACCATAACTCAACCATCGAATGATCCAGCTTCCTGGATCTTACGATTTTCGGATTCTGCAAGCGGGCCACTGTCTCGTACAGAAGAGCAGCAGCACCAACACCTGGAGAAACAAACCCGAAAGATCAAGTCACTCATGGAGCACATTCGTGAAGCTGACCGAAAGCTGAGTCTCAACAAAGACTACATTGCGGAGGCCAAGAAAGCGAAAAAGACACGCCTGAACGATCTAGAGGGTGGCATGGACGAGGGCCCCTGGATGGCGCATAGCGGTGATGCTTATGAGCATGATGAGGATATGATGGCTGATCTGTGAGCGCTCGAAGCTCCCCTCAGTCACTGCCGATGTTTACACAATCATCTCGAGGGTTAATGAAAATGGCGGATAATGTCTTTATGAGCGTGCATGAGCGATGTTTCGAGCGAAATGCATAGCATTGGCGTATTGCGATCTATGCTCGCAGTTGCATAGATTAGACAAGAAGACGAATGCAGAAGATGTTTGCGAAGAATGCTATGGAAATGACTCTCCCATATGAATATCCTGGTTGGCTCTCCAATCCTTCAATCACGTGACATTTAATTAGTGGCAAAATCACGGATCTTCCTTCAAATTATGAGTTCATCGCTCTACTTGAGCTTCATCAACCACCATACTACGTACCACGATTCTCAATCCTCAATCCTGATTCAGTCCACATTCGCTGCATCCTCACACCTACAGTCGCAATGCTCAAAAGAGTCATTGCAACCGCGCCTCGCGCCAGCAGAGCGCTCTCATCATCCATTCGACCAGCCATCAATTCACAAGCACGCATCGCTGCACCAGCATCAATAACAGCGAAACGAAGCTACCATGAGAAAGATAAGCCACCCTTCTTTCATCTGCTCTGCCGCTTATGCACCACCTGCGCCGCCCCAGAAACCTACAACCATTCTCCTACCCCGCCTCTACCACCACAATATCCACACACTCAGCTAACATCCACTTACTCCTAGACCACTACTCCGCGCCCCGCAATGTCGGGAAAATGGACAAGAATGCCCAGGACGTGGGTACAGGCCTTGTTGGCGCACCAGCCTGCGGGGACGTGATGAAGCTCCAGATTCAAGTCGATCCCACCACCAATACCATATCCGACGTAAAGTTCAAGACATTCGGGTGTGGATCAGCGATTGCGAGTTCTAGTTACCTTACGGAACTGGTGAGGGGAATGACGTTGGAGGATGCCGGGAAGGTCAGGAATACGGAAATCGCTAGGGAGTTGTGTTTGCCGCCTGTGAAGCGTACGTTCACCGGTTGTCATCGGAAAGACAATTGGAAGTCTCAAGAATGATAAGGCTGACTTGGGGATACAGTGCACTGCTCTATGCTGGCTGAAGACGCAATCAAATCGGCCATCTCAAATTACTACACCAAGAACCCCAAGGCCAAGAGCACCGACCTTGGAGGCACCGCGGCTGCGATGCCGAAGGTCGAGGTGGAGCAGGTGGCTGCGGCTTGAGTGGAGAGCCATGAGGAATCGAGGACGCTGTGACATGGTCGGACCGCCTTGATGGCCAAGGAATCGAAAGTTGATATGGTACAGGAACAGTCAGGGCTTATCATCTGATATGGGAAGCGATGGTTTGGCAGGCGTTGGTTGGTAGTTCAAAATATCATTATGTTCTTTGAAGCCTTGTCGCTGCCATTGAATCAATCGCCCAGGGAAAGCCCCCAAGAGTGATGTTTGCCTGTCCGAGCTACTTGCTGACAAGTCTCAATGTGACATCGACTGCTATATACTTTATCTCAAAATCCTATACCTCGATCTCTGCCCGACATCCAGACTCTCCTCCCGCAGGACATGTCGATGCAAAACTCTCATACAACACACCATACGATGCAACACCCCCGGCAGCATGCATACCACATCTGCTTCTGTAAGCCCGTGATATGCTACTAGGAATCTCTTCCCGTCGGCAGAAAAGGCACATCTCGTTCATATATTAGTCCGTAAGGACAAGGCCTCAGGGACCGGGGCAAAACGTCCGGACAAGGCTTTATGATGGGTAATATCGCCACTTCACGCCTTCATGAAGGATGGCGAGATATCCACAGGAGAACACAAGTCACAAGACCTGTTCATCGGCGGAATTGCAGTATACCCCAACAAAGCCTCCCACTCCTAGCACCCTCGACCCAGTTCCTCAACCCAACCTCCATATTCCCTGTATACTCATCCGAAATCTGGCCCTTCAACTCCCTTTCCCTGCTCTCCATCTCCCTCAAAACCCTCACATAATGCACCTCCATATCCCGAGTCAAATCGACAAACCCTACATCCACAAACCCAGCCTCCTCAAACCACCGCCTATAAGACTCCACATCGCCCAGACTCTGAAACTTCAGGCGTTTCAATATCGAACCTATCTCTCTCTGATCTACACCTACAGCGACCATCAGATCCGTAAACACGACCAACCCTCCATCCTTCACCAATACCCGATCAACCTCTCTCACCACAGCTTCCCTATCCCCAGAGTGCAGAAACGCATCCTGGCTCCACACGACATCAAACCCCCCTCAGGCACCATCCCCAAATCCTCAAAACACCCCTCACGCACACCGACCAACCGCCCCAACCCCTCCTCCTCTACCATTTTCCTACTCCGCTCATTCTCCACCCCACTAACGTTCACCAGCACACCTTGCACCCGTACGTCCGGGCAAGGTAGCGCGCGGCGCCGCCGTAGCCGGAGCCCAGGTCGAGTATGCGCGTTGCGCTGGTTATGGGCGCAAGGAGGGCAGCCATGCGTTCGATTGTGCGGGTGAACACCGCGTGGATGGGATCGTTGGGGGAGTCGTAGAGGCCGATTTTGATGGTGGAGCTGCCCCAGATGGTGCGGTAGAAGGTGTCCGCGTCGTGGGAGTCGTAGTAGGTGCGGGCTGTTGCTGCTCCAGAGCGGGCATGACTGGAAAAGGATGAGAATGAGGGTGTATCTCGGTCGACGGTGTGGTCTGCGGAGACGTCCATGGTGGTTTCAGCATTTGAGTCTCTCAGCCATGGAGCATCTCGTTGCCTTCGTGGCAGGAGCTGAGCTGGTGCCGCAGCCATGGTGCCAACTGGAGAGAGTTCTGGTCATTGAAGCGTTCACTGGATTATGGCCCGACAAGGGACCTAAATGTTTTGTGCAACAGGATCAGCTTTCAGAGGGTATTTGATGATGTGATCAAGGCCCGATGATCCCAACACACCCAACCTCTCATTCTGCCAAGCCAGACCGGACCCCCCCCAAAAGCGACCAGCTCGGAAAATCGAGACAGTCACGTGATACGTACTGATTTCTTCCTCCGGTCCAGCGATCCCGCTATCGGCTGCGTAACAGGAATACAGGGAAGCTCACGCGAACACATCAACCCAAGCCCACCTAAACCGCCAAAAACAAGCCAGAAAAGCTACATTTATCAAGCACTGAAGATATTCAAAGTCGCGCCACAATATTCCCCTGCCTTACGGTACCGTGTTTTTGCAATTCTGAGTCTTGGGATTCACGAAGGTCAGTATCATCAAAGGGATCTGCTTTCACAGAATGCTAGCATGGAAGATTTTCTCCTTTGCTATGCTTTTCAGCTGTTGCATTGACCTTGCAACCCACCTTCCCAAACAGCCCCCCCCACACACGTCAGCGTTACAACCTCCAGCAAGCCTGTGCGAACTACAACAACATAATCCAAAAGCCTCAAGATGGTCCACACAACCCACTTCATTCAGCCTACTCTCTCTACCTCACACCTCACAGAACCCCAACGGATAACCAATAATCAAATTCCCGGCACCAGCACGTCCCTCGTTTTCAGAACATACCTTAAATTTTGGGTTCAGTCTGATTGGGTCGACCTTGGGGACGCCTAACCCGACCTAATTGGTCCCAAAAACTAATTACTTCCCCACCCTCAACACGACGTCGAGGCGCATTATGCTGGTGTGACGAGATTACAATCAATAAAAGCCCCATAACTTGATGACTGAAAAAAAAATTTTTTTTTTTTTTTTTTTAAAAAGGTTTTTTTTTTTTGTGTTTTTCCGCTTTAATCAAAAACCCCATTGATGAGTGTCATCTTCGAGCATCCCCTGCCGCCCAAGTCACCGGCTTGAAAAATTGAAAGCCTCGGCTCAGATCCGACCACGGCGCCCTTGCCCCTAGATTTGAAACAGCAGACGGATGCTGTAACAAGCAAGGCATGTCTCGCCATTCTCTCAACCCTCCTTTACAAACCAATGCCTTTAGCGCCTCTGGGCTGTCCCAAATCGAGGTCCTGACAACATACGAAAAGCTCGGAATCGTGTGAATTGAGGCCGCTCGCTCATGAAGTTTTGATAATCGCAATCCATTGCATGGAGAGAAGGTACGAAAGTGCGCATTCCACCAGAAACACGGGGAGGGAGGATAAAGGAAATTCTCCAAAGACCTATATTAGCGCTATCGTCAAGACGCTTCTGTACGTCAACCGAAGAGCGGTAAAACTGGGAGAGATCACACGGGTTGGTGGTGTTCTAGCTTATGCCCTGCCACCGTCCGTCGCAGGCGCAAACCACTCACGAATCCATTTCCGCACCCATTCATCCTTGATCGGCTCCAGTCCTCGCATCGCTTTGCTCAGCTTCAAAGTCTCTGAGAAGTCCAACCGATTGGTCGGGACTCTCTCCGACGCGACGAGGTGTTCGAAGAAGTCCAGGAGTTTGGTTGCAGGGTTACTCCGTAGCGCGGCCTCGAGGCTCACGTCGTCAGCGTGCTCGCTGCGGTCGACTGTGGACTCCGCTGCCTTGCGCACTTCAGCGATCCACGTACGCAACGGTACGATTTCCATCGGTTTCTTCGTCTGAGAGCCGAGCTCGTGAAGGATGGTGGTTCGGAGCTCTGTCCAAGTAGTCGTGTGTGGATTTAGAGGATGATAGACGTCCGTATGGTGTGCAGGCGCAGTGCAACTTGCCGCTGACTGGCCTCTTACTAGTGCCAATTCTACGAGAATACCCGCGAGTAAATCGATTGGTATCCAGTCGATCCGATCGAAGGTTGAGCCAAGTGAGTCCGGGAGGCCACCTATTTGGACGGAGCTGGTAATCATGCTTGGAAACCATTCATCCTTGTTCCACATGCCAGAGTGGTTTGCAGCTCCAGCTATCTGCCCCACACGGCTGAAAGCGATCGAGGGGCCAGAGGATACCGTTTGCGCTGCGTAGTCGATAATCTGCTCAGCGACATACTTGCTCTCTGAGTACCCATTCGGACCGGGTGCAGTGTCTGCTGTGATAGGCTTCTCCAGAGCTTTTCCAGACGTTGAGCGATATGATATCACTGAACTGATTGATGATATGTAGAAAAATCGTGCCGATCTTGCAGAGGTGTTGGCAAAAGCAAGGAGACTAACGAGATTGTCAAGCTGAAGGTTGAAAAAGGAAAGAGAAAGGTTGAAGTTCACCGTCCACGCATTATGGATCACGAGCGTGGCTGTCGATTCTATTTCGTCGTATTGTGCTTTTGTCAGGTTGAAATTCTTTTGGCTTAGATCTACCGTCAAGAAAGAAATTCGTTCATTACTCGGAGGATGCTGCAGCCCAAGAAGCCGGTTCTTTTTCATCTGTACTGACAAGCCATCCTCCGCTCTATTCAAGCAGTATATGTGCGCAACGGTCGGAATTTGTAGTAGTGCATCCAGAATGTACGAACCCAAGGTCCCTGTGGAGCCTGTGAGAATTACAGTCTCCTGTTCTTGATTCGGAGGGACGTTGGATTTGACATCGAATTTAGGCAGCAATCGTTTGTCGATCAGTGTCTTGTATTCCTGAATCATATCATTGCGCTTCTTTGTTCGCGCCTGTTCTTGGGAGGCCTCTGAGGTCTGGTGTTGATCCAAGAGGTGCAAGATTGCAGCCGTGAGGGTCAGGACTGAAGGATTGGTATATACAGTACTGAGTGCAATAATGCGCATGGCCAGGCTTTGCCTCAACTTACGAACCAAAACCAGGGCCTGTAATGAGTCCATACCAAGTGCGAAGAAATTTGCTGCTTCATCAAGGCTGGGCCACTCCACGGTCGATAGGACACTCTGTCTGACGCACTTCGATACGGTCACTTCATTCAGGGTCCCTCTTGGGTCTTCAATTTCGCCTTCCGAGTTGGTAGACATCATGTCTGCATCTCTGTAAAGGGCGTCAATCTCGCTCGCATACAATACAAGCGTTCCAGATCTTTGGACTGTGCCCTTCTTGGCGCGCAACATTGGTTTTTGCGGCTGCGTAAACAAGACATGGGACTTCATAAGGCGAGCATGAGATGGAGCATCCTTGTTGGACTCCTCAACGGTAGGCCAGATTTTCTCGATGAAAGCAGCGCGCTCAGCTGGTTCCAGTGATTTGGTAGTAGCGATTGGTTCAATTAGCAAAGACGCCTGTAAACGTCGTGCACCGACAACTAACGCTGCGGAGATGTCCGAATTACGTGATACGATATGCTGCTCCATCGAGATCGGGTTCGTTTTTTCGCCATTCAGAAAGACGATAATATCGTCAGCCCTTGACTGCCACTTCCAAAGCTCTGATCTTGATGGATGACGAACGAAAAGATCGCGGCTGGTGTACTCTTGCGCGTTAGGGAAGATAGTAAAAGTTGGCTGCTTGTCTATCTTTTCCGGGTTACGGACCGCATATAGCTCATAGATCTCATCTGAAACTGGACGGAACTCCAGACCGAGTTGTGGATGGAACTGAGTATACTTCCAGTCCTCCGACCCTCTATCAGTCAAGGATATGATAGCAGGCGTCAAACCCAGCTCCGACGCCCCAAATTGGTTCAATAGCCAGATTCTTGAAGCTACGACATCGCCAATGATCTGTGGAAGGTCGCCTCCGCAGTAGATGATTGCTCTTAGATGTCTTGAGCAGTAGTCGAGAAGTTCGGGATTCTGAGCTAGGTCTTGGACGATCGAGGGAACGAGAAAGGCGACGTCTGCAGGTGTTTTTTTCAAACTTTCGACAAGCCCTTCACCTGAAAGAATAGCGCCCGATGTAGGAGCTATCATCACTGTCCCAAAGGTGACGGAGTTGAAGAGATGACTGGCAAGGTATGCTCCCTTGAATATTAACCTTAGCCAAGACCCACAAGGCTCTCGCTAATGTTCGTGGACTTACGTGGAAAGGTGGGAAAGCAATGAAGACTCTCTTGCCCTGATACACCCGGTCTTGGCTTTCGTAGTCAACTGGCGGATCCAGTGACATCATCTTAGTATTAGCAGCTGCCGAGGCATGAGTGAAGACTAGAGGTTTAGGCATGCCAGTGGAGCCAGATGTGTGTACAACAAACAAAGGCTCCGATTGAGCTTCTGGCCAAGCCTTGTCAAATGCGAAGTGTTGGTGCTGGATATTGAGGAGGTGCGAGACGCTAGGAACTTCAACGATGTGAAAGTCCTGATGGTCACTAATAGCAGTAACAGCTGGCGGTCGCGGGTCCGGTGAGAGCAGGGTTTTGCACTTCAGTGTGCCGAAGAGAGCGAATTGAGCGGCTAAGCTGTTGCGGGGTGATGTGAGAAACAACTGTTGGGTCAGCACCGCCAGCTTGAATGAGTTCGTGAGTAATGGTCAGTCACACCTTATACCCAGCCCTGACAGCCCCGAGGATGAGGGCAGGATATCTTATATCATTGGGTCCTATGTATGCGAGAGTTTCGAAGTCCTTGCCAGGACCGAGGGTATCGACCAGCCATACGGCTGCGGCGTTGATAGCATTCGCGAAGTCTTTGTATGTGATTTTGCGGTAGCCCTCATCATAAGTCAACGTCGAGACTGGATACTCTGAATAGATAGTATCAGGTGTCAATGCGGCGCGCTTGTCAACGAGGTGTGGAAGCAAGTCTCCAGTGAACTGGAGAGGGGGAGCTTTCGTGCTCTCCATAGTCACCACTAGTAGCGGCACCGGAAGCCTATGATGATCTCTTTGGAAAGGTGAGCAAATGTCGTGCTTGATGCCGTTGGCGACAAGGTGATCAAAGCAGTGCTTCTGCTGAGTCTAGATCGAGAGCAGCACTAAATTACGTATGAAAAGTGTATTTTTTATCGATACCTTGTGTAATGTGTGTCTAAGGGGGAGTAAATCACGCTGAAATCATAAGTGGGTGCCAGCCGAACCGTATTACTGAAAGCATTCGAGTCAATATTACCTTGACGGAGTACCTTGGAGCCGAGAAGGCTAGTGTCTTGTAAGCCTATAGGTACTTTACGAGTCATGGATCCATTGGTCTCCCAGTCCCAGACTCTAGGAATCCCTCCATTTTGTGGAACCAACCCAATCTGCTCTACCAACAGCGGGTTATATTCTTCGAGTTCCGAGGTTTCATCTATGGATCCGTCACCATGTGCCAGCATGCATTGCATTGCAGCCTTCGCTACATCCTCAACCTCGATAGCCTACCCGGGCTCGCCGATCACGTTTCTGATGGACTCGTCACCCGTCCAGGCGCTGGCGACGTCTGCATTGCCATCGAGGCGTCCAACCAACTCGCAGAAGATAAAGAGCTCAATGTCTAGAGCTTTCCATTACAGAGTGTTAACATCATGAAAGCGCTCATTATCCCTCCAATCCCCAACTATATCAGGTCTGTTGAAAGGTGTAACTGCTGATTGACTATACTATGGAGTAGGTGTGTGTGTGGGCTGGATAATCTATGACACAAAGCATGGCCCTATGACCAATTGCCACACTTGACATACCTTTAACACGCCCCCATGTTCCTGACTGATGAACGTTGGGATTAGCATGCTCCATGAATAACAAGATGAGCCTGATGGTTCTCTGAAATGCCACTTTACGAACATGAGTGCGGGTCCGAAGCCGTCATACCAATATCCATTGAAGAAAAAAGTAGCCAGATCTCGGATCCGGAAAGAGGTGCGTAAATAACTTCGGGCAAAGACCAAAAGATCTCCGCCAACTACTGACAGTGCATGATCGTTGCGCGAAGTGTTGAACATCGTTGGGTAGAACATGAGGACTCATGGATAACAATTACTGCGCAGAAATCGCAAATGTACTATGTATGAGCGTATGGTAAGGGAACCACAGCCTTCACATATTTTAGCCCACCACCACTGTACACACTTCTGCTTAACAGCAGTTTCCTCCTTGCTACGCCAATACAACTCGCTCTATGCCGGTCCTAATAAGAATTTGCCGTACAATAATATATGTGCATTGCTGAAGATTGTGCAATTGAACAGATGCTCAGCCAACTTTGCCGTCGTCTGTCTCTCATCTCTTCGTGCTCTGTGCTCTGGCTCTCGGCTCCATTCGATCCATTGATCATCTCCTCAAGTGGTTTTCAAGCTAACGTTTGCGAGCACTGCTGTCTCTATTGATCTTTGGTGCACTGTTTCTTTTACTTTCCCATTCCCTGTCGTGACTATCTCGTCCGCTCAGGCTTTCCACGTCCACCGTTTCTTTGGTAGTGCATCGAAACCCCTGACACCCAATAAAAACCCAATCAAAACCCATCATACCAAATAACTTGTAAGACATCATCCCTCCCCAGTCGTGCTCAAGCCTCTCGATTCACCCAAAATTGGCCCTCCAACGGGTGAGCCGAATGCTGCTCCACAACCTCGGACGAAGAATACAAAGCCATTAACAGAGGCATACGCCTGTATACCCAAGATGTCGGATACAGTCACAGGCCAGAGAGCCATGTACCCTGGCTTGAACTAGCCAAAGGTTGGAAAGTAAGCCTACTGAGGTCTTCTTCCATCGGCAACGCTTACCACCAGCAAGAATCCCATAGAGCACCACAAACTCCTCCGTTTCATAAACTGCCGCACCCAACCAAAGCGCCAACACACTAATAGTACTACCTACCACCGAGAGGATAAGTATGTTCTGCCTTCCAAAAGCATCCGCCAGAACCCCAGTCAATATCCGACTCACAGCGTTAACTCCAATATCTATCGACAACAACACAGCTCCAAACACAGCCGTATACCCCAGCGCAATCGTACTACCATACTGCTAGTTGTCATTTGGAGTGGTGGAGCACTCGGAGGACCGGCGACCGTTGACTCGATCCATTTCGCAAGCAATTGGCCCTGGCACCGGATAATGGCGAGATTTTGGTTTTGAGTCACGAGTTAAGGTTTGGTGCTTACTCTTTAGCGCTTATGCGGCCGGATGAGATTACTAGTACACGCTCTGAGAAGGAGGTAGGGAACGGTGACCTGATCTGAATTCCATCTATTGGAAAACACACTTAAGTGGATGAGGGTCTCTTTGTTTATCAGTAGAGTATTATGATGCATTGCTTCGATTATTATATGTTTTTTCTTTTTTCTTCTTCCTTTTTCAATTACATTGACCGGACATACACAGAAATGTAAGACATTACTTTGATGCATGTCAGAACTATCATATTTTGAGATTTCTAAAGAAAGCGAATCCGACTAACACAATAGCTGAGAATTCTTTTCAATGCGGATTGAAGTTGCTGAGCCAAAACCGTGGATACTGACCCGAACTGAGGGTGTGTATTTAGGTTTGAAGAAGAGATGGCCCCTTGGTTTACTCTGATCACCGTCATCCGATTGTAGGAGCGTGTTCGAAGATAAGATGACTCGCCGACTTCTTTTGTCACTGTCGTTTGACTTCGGAAATAACATAATTAGACCATGCCGTCTTACTTGGTATAAGATCGTTTTGCCGTGTACGCGATCGAGTATCGCTGTTATTCAGGCGAAATCTTATCCTTTCGCCTGTAACCATTCGGTATCTGAGCAGCCCCGCCAGCCTCGCGGAAAAGCTTACCGTTGAGACAGGATCGGCTCGGCCATCGGTCTCACAATCCCAAAGATTCGAGTAGCCATCGCTGACCGCCGGATGACAGGAGCGGTCATGAAACCCTAGCGAGTGCGAGCTCTAAACAAGATGGACGATATGATACGGGGAAACTTGTGGAGTGGCATCGGCAGGAAGATGGATGTCGACGGGGAGAATGTACAGAAACATTGCATGTAGCAAAGGTGGAGTGGTCTCAGAACTTGCGAGATGGTTCAAAGCACGAAGTGACATGTTTCTCACCCAAGAGAAAAGTTCCCCCGCCATACGAGAACTATGTTCCTTACGCATACCTCTCCAAAATCTCCACCAACTCTGCAACCTTGCTCAAAAACGGCGCGTGACCGCTCCCAATCTCATCCGCACTCCAACTCTCATCCCACACGTCCTTCATCATCGTCCGCTGCCGCTCCAGCGGCATCCCCAAATCCTTCGTCGTGACCACATACGTCTTCGCGACGTCCACATCCCAACACGCCCTCCGAACCGGCGTCGTGCAATTGTTGCGATTCGCAACGACCAGCTCGTCGGCCCAGCGCTCCTGCTCCGCGGGGGGCAGATCCTGAAAGAACAACTTCATGCACAGGTCCCGCTTGGGGCGCCAAAGGACCCCGCCCTCATCGACCGTCACCCACGGCGGCGGCAGGCGGCCGCCGGAATACTGCATCGTGCTCATGCCGTCGGGGAGGAGAAAGGCGGCGATGAAGACGACGCGGACGATGCCGCCGGCCTTGCCCTCCTTCTGCCTCAGACTGCGCTCGAGGCCGCGCACGGCCTGGCAGACGGGCACGCCGCTGTAGGAATGCCCGATGAGGATGACGTCTTTGCCGGCGTCGACGAGGTCGGAGCAGGTGGCGCGGACGAGGGTGAGGTCGTCGTAGGGGAGGGCGGAGGGGGCGCCGGGGCCGTAGTTGGGCATGGGGATGCTGAGGCTCGGGATGGGGACGGGGAGGGCGGCGAGGGCGGCGATGATGGGGGTGTAGTGCGCGGGGGTGTAGAGGAGGCCGGGCACCCAGACTATTGTTGCTCTATCGGGAGTCATTGGGGCTGCGTGGGTGGATTAATCGTGGTATGCTCGAGGAGGGGTTGTGCTGGGTAGGAAAGGGTTCAAGGTTTGTTGCCGACTTTTTCTTCGATGGAGTGATGATCGCTAATACGACTGCAGAGCCGATCTGCGACTTTTTCGATGACAGACAATGCGATCTCATGCGTGTACACCGGTTTTCGTTATATGTACCACCCCTCGGAATCGGGTTAGTGTCCGCGACTCTCGGAGTAATTTATGCGCGCGGGAAACGCGATACGGAATAAAGTAACATGTATTTATCGAATGTACACGTGACTAGGTGCAGATCTTTTCACTTCTCCCGTAGGGTAGTCCTATGCTTTACTCGATTGCCCCATCACACTCACTGTTTTTATAAGGCTTGACGAGAGACTTCTCACGCGTATGGGAATTCGTACATACGCAAAGGTGGGAGAGATTTTCCAATGTGCAGGTTAATGCACTTCTGCAGGAACCCAATTCGACTGCTGGGGATCTTCTGAAATGCGAATCAAAATCTCCAATTTTTCAAAGGAGTTCCGCAAAATTCCGATCCAACCGCTTCATTGATAATAGATAAGGGTGCGAAAGATTGTCCTTCGTACTTCCTCGAAGTGTGCCAAAACCGCGAACACTGATTCGATCTGAGGGGGTGGACACGCATCGGATCGCGGATTTTTAGAACCAGGATGATGACAACGCTGATGGCGTACTAGCGCAAGGTGTATTGTGTCGGCGTTAGGTACATCATCTAGTTCTGTACCCGGTACAGTGGTAGCGCAATCGGGTTGCGCCGTTCTCTCCAGCGGAAATTGAGGAGATTAGATTCGGGCTGGTATGTAGCTTTGATCCGGCAGTCTCCCCTTGACGGCATCTCAACCGCAAGACTGCTCGCGCTCTAGTCGCTCTCCTTGAGAAGCAAAGGCACTTGCGGAGCCCCTGTACAGTACTTACGGATGGTCGTGAACGTCCGCTTTGCCAAGACTCTTGCGTCCACTCGGACAACGGCCCGCTCCGAGTGAGTTTGCTGGCATGGAAGGAAAAGCCATCAGCTAGTCCCGTTTGAGGTTTTGGGCACCCCGCGACCGTTGAATTACGCAAATCTTTAGGAAAACCGCTAGTCCCACTTGAGGTTTTGGGCACCCCGCGACCGTTGAATTACGCAAATCTTTAGGAAAGCCGCTAGTCCCACTTGAGGTTTTGGGCACCCCGCGACCGTTGAATTACGCAAAACTTTAGGAAAACCGCTAGTCCCGCTTGAGGTTCGGGCAAATTGAATTAGCAAATCTTTGAAAACCTCCGCGACGTGTTGATTTTCGTAAACCCGAGGGTACCGAGGGAAAGCCGCACGCTCATACCGCTTAGGTGGAGGAGGTTTTTGGAACCTTGAGACTGTCGAGTTGCGCAAAATTCTAGTGTCGAGCTCGGTACAGGAAAGGTGGAAAGTAGAACAGGTCTGGACAGATGGTAGACAACCTCACCCACCAAGAATATACCCTCATCTCAAACGTGTCATCCGAGGATTCATCCTCTTCAATCCTCCCATTAGCTTATTCTCACCGTCCTCCTCCCGCCCACTCCGCGCTCTTCGCCTAATCAAACCTGTTACATCCCAGTTTGAGGTCTTGGCAGTATCGGTAGATTGATTAAATTTATGCGTAACTCTGTGACCTACGCGAGCTAGCTCTGTATGACAGCTGAGGCTCAATGGAGGCAAGTGCTACATTTCAAGGTCATAGTAAGGATAAGATATTTATATGTTCTCAACTCGGCGTGAGATAAAGTCTTCAAACCAGACATCCCGCTCCGGCAGAGATTTTTGGGAGGGCTGTTGTGATAGAAGAGGACATAGTGAACGAGCGCTGATGGTGTGGTGAGGATACGCAATCGTGCTCCGTATGAATCGACCATTCTTAGGAGACCGTGATCACCAACAGCAATGAGAGTGGCTGCAAACTCTCAACGCAAAGGCTTGGCAGGTTTGATGGAAATTTGCGAGTTTATACCAACGTTCGTTAGCCAACATCCAATGCTCGAAGGAACCCGTGATATTATATCTGAATCTACCAAGCGGCATACATGAGAATGCCTATCTGCTTATGCTACTGCGCTATACCAACGACATGTTTGTCTGCCAAGAGATTGCAACCCGTGCCTGCCAAGATTCCGCTCATGCTGTTGGCTGGGCCGTCTTCTGTGGAGCTCATGGGACCGGGTGCGCCCGCTCCAATGCCCCCTTGGCTCAATTACAGGGTCTACGACAGCCGGCTTTTCCAGGACCCGAGGCTGCATTGGTAGTTACCAAAGCCGTGTAAGGATCAATCCCCTGAGAAGCACCATGAATACACTTCGAGAACGCTGGGTCTAAGTGGAAAAGGAAATCGGGAGGGGCAAGTAAGGGCGCGTATGGACCTTGCGAAGAATTCCATCCTATAATGGCCGGTGGACAGGGAAGATCGCCGAAGTTGAAGCTGTATGTTTTGGAATCGCCTCCAATAGTTGACAACGCACCAGAAGCGAAAGAAGTAATCAAGTTGGTGAATGTTGCGCCAATTTGGCTGCACCCATCATGAGCGCGGATCGAGGGGAAATTGACATATACGCTTGGAGATTGACTGTATGGAGTAAGTAGGTTGGCATGTCTAGCGGGGCAGATGTTTGAGTCGTACATGTTTGTTACATCAGGAGAAGAGGTCGTGATCTGTGGACCTTTTGAAAGACAAGCGGTATTTTGGGGGTCTTCGGGCCAGTAATACACGTTGACGTACTGTGATTGATTAGGTCTGCATTGTTTTTAGGTTCAACAGGGGCATTGCTGACTGGATAAAACAAATTGCATGTCGCCCATGGCACACAGCCCGCTGATCCTGAAGGAGGTGGAGGTGCCGCTGTAATTTGTGATTGCCCTGTAAATGTCGCGGGTGTCGCAAGTAAGGCTGAGTTTGCTGATGTAGCTGCTGTTTCTGGAGTAGCAGCTGCCGCTGGAGCCGCAGCTGTCGTCTCATTAGACATTACTGAAGTGCTGTTCAGGTCCGGCGGAGAAGCAGCGCCAGGACGAACAGCGCCAGGATTGTCGAGCATGTCGTATGGCCTCTTTTCAAGACTCGCTCCGTTAATAGGAGGACATATCAAGGCGAAGATGGTCGCGAGCAACAGGAGAAAGAACTTCCGACAGCACATGGCTGAGTCTGGTCGGGCTGGATGGAAATAGCGTAGAAGTCAAGACCGCAGGTTCAACGAGACATCAATACTTGATGAGTGGGTGAGGCCATATACCCTTTCCGCGGACACCGAGGAAAGAAGACACGTAACACCCCATTGCTGGGACATCTTGTGAAACTAGTGAAATGAGAAAGGGTCGTTAGATTCGCAATACTGAGTAGATGCGGTATTAAGAGCCCGTATAGATTGTCAACCGCTCGCATGCAGAAATATGGATGCGCATGATGGAAGAAGGCCATAGATCCTGCAGATTTGATCATCTTGGAGTTGTGCGTTCACACGCTGTACAGTTGCCACGCATCTTGAGTGAGCGAGGACAATCTCTGAGCGTTGTGGAACTTTAGCAGAGGGTGAGGTAGTGCATATAGGGGCATGTCGAGAAAGGAAACAACCAATTTCCGTCTCTGAAACACCCTTTGCATGAGGCTGACGGCGCCTTACCCCCCCTCTCGGTCACTCGTTTCTCAACGGATCATGCTAGACCGGTTGGAGGAGGTTTCAAAGGTGTGGGAGACACGTAGAACTCGAAATGATATGCAGAAACTATGATTGCAGGGTGTGCACAGTGTCACCATGGTCCCGGAGTGCTTCCATTTATGTACGAATCTACCTTAATGCCGTTCCGAAGGCCGAAAAGTGGCACAGCGCAATGCGAGGAGGCTATGCATGCTCCGACGATATCATTTGTGGAACCATAGTTGCAAGCACTGAACGAACGCCCCACCTTTGGAGCTAGCGAAGCAGGCATCTATGCGTTCCTCTCAACTTGAAGATGGGCCCCCGCAGAATTTCATGCCCCACATGTGCAGAAAATGTGAGAACAGGACCAACATCTAGATGCATGTGGAGGTATCGAAGATGGAACGAAAGTGCAGGGGCTCGTTAAAAAGGGCAGTGCTCGCGGCAGAGACGGACCTGCGTGGGGTGGAAGCTGATAAGAAGAGAAAGCAACGTGACCACTTTGGGTGCAGCACTGCTGACTTTCGCGAGATGTTTTGAGATTTACTGTAAAAGACAAGAAGAGCCGCTATGTTCTCAAAGACAAGAACAAGTTGCAGTTTTTAACCTGAAAGAATAGAAGCCACAAACCCCCAATCGCGGCTCAGCCTTATTTAAGTTATCAGGAATGGCGCCGGCGCCTATCAGTTGGCCCCCATCGAAATACTGGTACCTCCGATATTTCTTTCCTTCTTCCCGTCCATTGCCTGCTCATCAACAACGATGCTGACACTCGTGAAAGGGATGGTGATGATGGCCCTTGGTCCTCGTTCGCCTTGCGACTTGGGAGCCCCGAGCAGATTGTCCGTGTCCTGCCATCGACCGCGGGCCAGGCGACGTGGGTTGTAAGCCCTCAAGGATGTCCACCTGACTGGAATTTAGCCTATTCATCCTGTAATGCATCTCGCGGCGGTCTATTCGATTCAACACAGTCGAGCTCCTGGCAAGTCTTAGGTAACTATTCTCTAGGACTCGAACTAAACCTTGGATATGATGTGAGCGCTCCATACGGGCTCGACATGATAGCGTTGGGGCTCGACAATTCTATCGGTGGACCCACACTGAACTCACAGGTCATCTCAGCTCTTGCGACCGAAGACTTTCAAATGGGTGTCTTCGGTTTGGGTCACCAAGGGACAAATATTAGCAGTTTGAGCGAGCCACATCCGACTTTCTTAACGGCAATGCACAATGAGAGCTTGATTCCAAGCCTATCGTGGGCATATACTGCGGGGGCACAATATCGTGAGTCAGTTTCCTAGCTCAGCAACCTGCGCACACCGTCATCAATGACCAATATTGCTGCCACTACAACTATCAGCCTCACACTTGTTGCTAGCCAAAGTGGCCGCGAGTCCCTACTTGGTGTCTTCATATGCCTCCGCTTCGATCTGTCTTCCGTTGTCCGTATGGCTTACAAGAATTGCAAGTCGTAACTTCAAAAATGGGCATTTAGGGCGTACAATCTTTTTGCAAGGCACTCGTTTGTGAAAAGTTGCCCTTGCTAAACATTTCATCCTTCGTTGCTCAGCAGTAAATCAAGAACTTTGGGATGACATGAACGCTTACGGCCAGCAGGATATGTACTTGGAAGCTTGACGTTTGGCGGCTACGATCGTTCACGATTTGTCCCCAATAATGTCCCTCTTTTCCTCGCCGCCGATATCTCGCGTGATCTCGTGGTTGGACTACAGTCGATATCTTCAACGAGTATGAATGATCTCACTTTTGATCAACAGTCGTTACTACCGAACCCAATCTTGACTTTTATTGACTCAACCCTACCACATATATACCTCCCCATCGAAGCATGTCAAGAATTTGAAAAGACACTCGGGCTAGCATGGAATAGTACAGCGGAAATGTATTTGGTGAATGATACTCTCCACCAGAGTCTGTTATCAAAAAACCTCAGTTTCAGTTTCACAATCGGAGATGCCATAGCTGGCGACCATACATTACAGATTACCTTGCCATATGCAAGCTTCGACCTAGAGGTGGATTATCCTGCCGATTTAGATACCCTTCGATATTTTCCCTTAAAAAGGGCTGTCAACGAGTCCCAGTTTACTCTAGGTCGAACCTTTCTACAGGAAGCGTAAGTGCTCTCCAGTCTCGTCTCGACTGTATTTCGATTACTAATCAGGTTATCTTCAGATGCATCATCGTCGACTATGAGCGCTCCAACTTCTCTGTTTCGCAATGTCGATTTGAAGATGGTATTCCTGCAGACTTAGTTGCCATTCCGTCAGCCACTGAAACACCCAGTCACCTACGTCGCAATGTCGCCATAGGGACCAGCGTTGGAACAGCTTTGTTTCTTCTACTAGCTACCCTTGCAGCTATCTTCGCCATCCGAAGATGGCGACAAAAAGCGAACACCCGACCTAGTAGCGAAGCCACACAGCTCCGTACGCTCTTCCAGGAGCCGAGAGAGCCCATCGTTAGTTTTGCGCAGGAAATCGGTCACAACAGCACAGATGAGCCAATTCGGGAGCTCCCTGATAGCGCGCAAGCCAGAGTGGAATTGCTGAACGAGCAGGCTCCCTCGGGATCAGGCAATGAGATCCCCGAGATGCCGGAGGCTCTTCCGACCGTTCCCCACGAATTGAGAATCAACCGGAGCTCACATGTCATGGTACAGACGCGCAACGCTAACAATTACCTAATCTTCGCCTCGACGAAATCCGCGAGGAAAAGTTGGCCAAGCTTTGCGTCATCTGATGGCGCACTCTGCAATGAAACCGTGATATCTGCCTCGGCTCTGCGAAAGGAGATTGAAATGGATAGAGCTTCAATCGCCACTTCAAATCTAAAGGCAGAAATATATTCCTTATATATACGAAAGCCGTTCGATCTGAATAGGTCGTTGCCACCAACTCCAATTTCGGAGAGCCCGCAGGTATCGCCCGTTCTGGCAGAATCAACCGACGATCTTCCCTCTGCCAACGCCCACGGCACTGTATCTGCTTTTGTGTCTCCAGAAATGCCTGTCATGACCTATCCGGCGACAGCCTTTAAAACCAGCGTCTTCCTGTGAGTGTTTTGTTGACGGGTCTGGACACTGTAGATAGTCCCTTCAGGTCAATTGATGGCCAACAAGTCGAGCCTTTCGATGGTTTCGAGAGGAGGGTCTAGATTAGATGCAACTTAGTTCTGATCTATCACATCGCCGCAGCTTCTCGTATAACACGCTCCTGACCTACCATTGAATATCACTTGGCCCCTAAACAATCTCTTGAAATTTTCAACATTCGCATTCGATACAAGTGAGCGTATATCATAGGAGAAATCATATTCGGAGACTCGTAGGGAGGTCTCCTGGTCGCAGGAGCCCTGGGTCTACCGAATTGGATGGTCGCATCCTCGGCGGGCAGGTTATCAACTATCTCGTAAATGCTCTTAGCCTAGTCTTAATGTTGTTAAAGGATCATACACGTGATTTGTGTGATTACGTATACTCAATTGTTTTAGATAATTTTTCGATAGCATTGCGAACTCCGAGCATGCTAGCCCTAAACCACTAAGGTCACACGTGCAGAGTATTACACAGTCATGCAGAGTTTTGAATCTGATACAAAGGATTGCTTTCTTACCACAGCTGCTCGGGGAAGGGCTGTCTCCTTCCTGCCTTCCCATTGTTGACAGCAGCACATGACCTATTCGTCACTATCCAACAATGAAGCTTCTACGTGAGGAACCTCGCCTAGGCGTCGCGTAGCTACCCATACACTTGCTTCTGTTCTCTTGTTATTCCTTCGCAGTGCAGTGGACTTCGTGAGTCTTCTCTTCTTCTCTGGGGTCTCTGTCTTTGTCCTTCTGACTTTCTTTGTTTACAGATCTCTGCCGTTGCCTAGCTCCACACAAAACCCACTTTTATAATCATCTCCCATCAGCTAGCTTCCTTGGTAAACACTTAAAACTGCTATTTACTAGCTTTTCAAAATCGAACTCCTCACCACTTCGCACTCGGCACATCTTCACCCATGGCACCAGACGAAGACAGACATAGAGACAAAAGATTCAAGACCGCAGAAGAGATAGGAGGTAGCTTCACCCCATCAGCCACCACATCAAATTCTCGCCCCAATGTCCAGCCAGTACCCCCACCGATGCCGCATGACCGGCTCAGCACTTCATCTCACGTTGACAGCATCCATCCTTCCGCGGCGCAAGATCCTCTCTCTAGGCGCAGAGCCAACGGCGTCTTGAACCATGATGCCGTGGACGACTCAGATTCGAAAGGTAAAGACGAAGCGCCACCACTTCATGACAGGAGTAGAGTACTGGAAACCATCGAGGAAGACGTGGGAGATGCTATCACCTCCCCCTCCGCAGATCATGAGCACGGTGACGATGATTCTGGCGGAAGCGAGTATAACAACAGGGAAGATAGTGAGATTGCATATTCAGCATCAAGTGGCAAAGGGAGAACACGCAGTCCTTCTCGGGGTTCCAACACAGAAGTGTCCCATGGTGCTGAGAATAGGAGCCACGGCGAGGCCCAGGATGACGATATGGAGAATCACGGCGACGAGCACTTGTACCATGAAGACGAAGACGGCGGGGAGGACGACCGCGACGACAGCTCCGGTACTGACACCGTGCCGTCTATAGGCGGATATGGAATGTCAGTTCAGGTTCCTTGGGCTGAGCCGGTGGATCCTCCAGTGCAGGAGTTCCGTTTGAGAG